CCAGGCAAACCACCCCCACCCCCCCCAGCCACTCCTCATAAGTTTTATTTTCCAGCCCCTGGATCAGTTTAGTCGCCCTTCTCTGGACCCGCTCCAGGAGCTCAATATCTCCCTTAAAGCGAGGGACCCAAAACTGGACACAATATTCCAGGTGCGGCCTCACCAGTGCCGAGTACAGGGGCAGGATCACTTCCCTGTTCCTGCTGGTCACACTATTCTTGATACACGCCAGTATCCCATTGGCCTTTTTGGCCACCTGGGCACACTGCTGGCTCATATCAAGCCAGCAGTCAACCAACACCCCCAGGTCCTTCTCCACCAGGCAGCTTTCCAGCCACTCTTCCCCAAGCCTATAGCGATGCTTGGGGTTTTTGTACCCCAAGTGAAGGACTCTGCACTTGGCCTTATTAAAGCTCATGCCATTGGCCTCAGCCCAACGATCCAGTCTGTTCAAATCCCTCTGAAGGGCCTCCCTACCCTCGAGCAGATCGACACAGCCTCCCAGCTTGGTGTCGTCCGCAAACTTACTGAGGGTACATTCAATCCCCTCATCCAGGTCATTGATAAAGATGTTAAACAGAACTGGACCCAGCACTGAGCCCTGGGGAACCCCACTGGTGACCGGCCTCCAGCCGGATTTAGCCCCATTTACTACCACTCTTTGGGCCCGGCCATCCAGCCAGTTTTTAACCCAAAGGAGGGTGTGCCTATCCAGGCCATCCTCTTTTGATTTTACACAGGATCGAGTGTCATCAAGTGGCACACTATTAAGATTTTCTTAATTTACTGGTATTTCACAGTAAGTTCACACTACTTATATTTTCTTGCCACAAGTGCCCAACACTCGGAAATTCAGAGATGATTAACAGCAGCCTTCACTTATTTCATAGTGAAAGCTAGTTACTTACTTCCATAATATCCTCTAAATTTTCCTCTGCATCTGCTTTTTCAGTCATCAGTTTGGCAGCTTTGAAATAGGTCTTCATTAGTAGATAACCCCTCTTGGCTCCATTCCAGTGAGAACGGGGAATTTCCACCAAACCATAACCCAAAAGCAACACAAGAAGAAAGAGACCCCATGTGTTTGCAGCAGCTATGCCAATAGTCTGAAGTTGGTTCCTAAGGAAAAAACAAATAGCAAGAATACAAAACAGAAAACAAACAACATCCTCCTATCCCACCTGGAAGAAAGTAACCTTGAAGTCCTGCACTTGGGTCACAACAATCCCATGCAATGTTACATGCTTGCGGAAAAGCAGCTGGACAGCTGCCTGGCAGAAAAGGACCTGGGTATATTGGTTGACAGTTGGCTGAATATGAGCCAACAGTGTGCCCAGGTGGCCAAGAAGGCCAACAGCATCCTGGCTTGTTGTAAGAAATTGTGTGGTCAGCAGGACTAGGGAAGTGACCATCCCTTTGTACTTGGCACTGGTGAGGCACAGCAGGTGCACCTGACCAGATAAAGGCTGGGGCTTTAGGACCACCGCATCCTTGCTTTTCGTGCCCTCACTTTTGCGCCTTTATGGTGTGGTCACGTACACCCCTTGTACACTCCTCGGGTGAGTGCTGACCATCGCCTACATGCCTTGGCCGAGGAATGAGGAAGGTGGGGTCCTCTGCCAATCAGAGCTGACATGACCACGTATGACCACAGATCATAGAACCATAGAATCACAGAATGGTTAGGGTTGGAAGGGACCTCAAAGATCATCTAGTTCCAACCCCCCTGCCATGGGCAGAGAAATTCTCCACTACACCAGGTTGCCCAAAGCCTCATCCAACCTGGCCTTGAACACTTCCAGGGATGGGGCATCTACAACTTCTCTGGGCAACCTGTGCCAGTACCTCACCACCCTCAAGGTAAAAAGTTTCTTCCTTATATCTAATCGAAATCTGCCCTCTTTCAGTTGAACCCATTGCCCCTTGTCCTATCACTACACGCCCTTGTAAAAAGTTCCTCTCCAGCTTTCCTGTAGGCCCCCTTTAGGTACTGGAAAGCTGCTATAAGATCACCCCAGAGCCTTCTCTTCTCCAGGCTGAACAGCCCCAACTCTCTCAGCCTGTCTTCACAGCAGAGGTGCTCCAGCCCTCAGATCATCTTTGTGGCCCTCCTCTGGATTCAACTAGGGTATAAATGGAGCTCCGCCACAGGGCACACTGAGTCAGTCCTCCTCAAAGCAGCAGGTCTGCAGTCAGGGACTCTTGGGACAGGACACTGCCCAAGAAAACTCTTGCAGGTTAAGAGCCCTCAGAGGCGAGTGATTGTGCGTGTTTTGGATCCTCATTTCTAAAGCTTAAGAATTCTTGAGTCGCTAGTGCAGTATTAATTCCTTGTACATCGTCCTGAACCACTGGCTTACTAACGTTGTTGGAGTGTTGAATTTTGATAAATCTCATTTCTACGTGGTTCTCTGCTAAACAACTTTGGCTAGAATAAAGTTTATCTTGAGTTTACCATCAGTCTAATTTGATTTTGTGAGCCTCCACAACATGAGGCTGCACCTCGAATACTGTGTTGAGTTTTGGGCCCATCACTACAAGAAAGACATGGAGGTGCTGGAATGTGTCCAAAGAAGAGCAATGAAGCTGGTGAAGGTTCTAGAGTACAAGTCTTATGTGGAGCAGCTGAGGGAACTGGGTTTGCTTAGTCTGAAGAAAAGGAGGCTGAGGGGAGACATTATCGCCCTCTACAACTACCTGAAAGGAGGCTGTAGCCAGGTGAGTGTTGGTCTCCTCCCAAGTAACAAGCAACATGACAAGAGAAAATGGCCTCAAGTTGTGCCAGGAGACTTTTAGATTGGATATGAGGAAAAATTTCTTCAGTGAAAAGGTTATTAAACATTGGAACAGGCTGCCCAGAGAAGCAGTTAAAAGAGGTGTAGATGTGGCGCTTAAGGACATTGTTTAGTGGCACACTTGGCAGTGGTAGGTCAACAGTTGGACTCGATGATGTCAAAGGTCTTTTCCAACCTAAACAATTCTATGATTCTAAGTATGTGTGCATTGATATGGCTTTCAAGTTTTCAGGAACAGACTTACTATCATTTGGAATTCTTGCCTAGCCCCAGTTTGCTACTTGGTCATATTTAAAGCTGCCACGATTTTTCTCTATCTCCCTATGTTTCCTCCCTCTCTGGAGGGAAGAAAAAAATGTTTGTTCTCACAGGAGTATGTTCCTTTAAGAAACAAAATGAACTTAGAAAACTTATCAAAAGTGAGGTCAAAACACTATAGGGACAGTCACTACAAGAAACAGCCTCAGAACCCAGGATCTGAATTCAGAAGCGGAAGTTGAAAGCAACTAGGCGGTATATGACAATGTTTACTACTGTATCTGTATATAAGACTATTAGAAATGTTACAAATACCAATTATTTTAGCTACCTTATGGCCTTTAAATAGAATCTACAGTAGACAGAGGCACTACACAGGAAATACTGACACAGACTTTTTGAAAGATGTTATTCTGAAAACACTGAGTTTCTGCACTAAGTTTGCAAACGCATTTGTAGGGAGAAAAAAAAACTATTGCAAATACGAGAGGATACCTCTGCCCTACATAACAAAATCAGAAAACAAAAAGACAAATTTCTACAAATAGTCAAAAAATCCCTCTCCCTTAAAAAAGTGAAAAAAACCTTTCCAGCTGTCTAACAAAAATCAGATGAACTAAAATTGTTAAGAAAAGACCCATTTCATCTATAGAAGAGATTACTCATTAACAATTTCTTGAGAATTCATGCAAGTGCTTACAAGTTATTCTTACCATTGTAAGTTGAAGTTTGGGTTTACAGCCACATATATTAAAAATGCTCCAAAAATCAGCAAGTAAGTGCCATAATAGATTGCATTCTCAATCAATGCAGTTTTAATCTTCCCAGTAATGGAGAACCCTCCAGATCTAGCATATGATTGCATGAAAGGTAGCAGAATCCTAGGAGAAAAGCAAACAAAACCAAACCACATCAGCCAAGCAACAGAAAAAAAAAGTGTTTAAGCTAAAGAATCTCAAGCTTCTACCAAGATTATCCAGTTATATGTTTTTATTCTAGAGGTATTGGTCTGATAGCAAACCTTAAACAAGCTGCCTTTACTATGAAAAATCCGTGATAATCGAGAACACACTACCAACCCTGATATTCTTGACTGGGCTACAAAAATAATTTCTTGATGACAGATCTAACTCAAAAGCATAGACAACCTGTTTGCTGTAGCTACATCTTCATATAGCGTATCAAACAAAACCAAATAGTTTACAATACTGCTCAAAAATCACCCAATTTATTCATGGTATTATTTTGGTGTCCTGTTGCCTAAAATCCACTTTTTCAGACAATATATACATAAACACCCTTATGTGTAAATTGCTCAGCTTCAACTACAAAAGTGAATGGCTGCCACCTGCAAATAGTACAGTAATTACTAGAGACATTTCACTGCTAGCAAATAATATATGACTAGACAGCTTTGTGAAATAGTGATATATATGCTTAAAGAGTATGCTATGACTAAGAACATAGATGTTACATTTAAAAATTGTATCTATACCACAGACTTTGTCACATTATTTTGCCTTACCATGTTAAAAACTGTGATGTCCAATATACGACACGCCAGAAAATTGGCATAATTCCATTAGGAATATAACTCCATGGTTTGAAACATTTTTGCCTGCTGTAATAATGTAAAGAAGCTTATTGTTAGTTGGAGGGTCAAAAGTATAAAATTATTTTCTATAAATTCCCCTATCTAGAAAGGACTTTGAAAACATCAAAACAGTAATACACTACTATTTCAGTAAGGAGTAAACCACAAACATCTCAGAAGAAAACAAACTGAATCACCACTTTATCATTCTCCTCACTGCAAATAATGTATCTGGACAAGGCAGCTTTCTTAGAGAAAAAACAGTAGCTTAAAGACTGAAAAGAAATGAGCAATCAAGCAATTTAAGGTTTTCTTATGCAATTTTTCTTTTTAGGCAGGGAGTAATTTCTTCATACAAAAAAAAAAAAAAAAGCTTTTCTGTAGACTGAAGACCACTAACTTCACTGAGCACAGCAGGTTTCTAAAAAATATCTAGGGACCCCATCACCTAGCTCTACTACATAGAGCATTTAGTGGAAAAAAAGAGCATATTAGTTGTTTCTTCTGTCACTCAGCTGGATTTAGTCAGGCTCACATAAGCTTTGATGTGTTGAGCCAGTACTTTTCTAACAGGTAGTGTTTGCTTCGGAAGACCAGAAAAGCTATGAGAGCCTTCTAGCAAAAAGAGAGCAAAAGACAAAGTGCCTATCCGTAGTAAGACACTTGGGTTTTTTTCCCCACACCAGTCTAGGTAATAAACAATGGTGAGTCAAAGGGCAATACAGTCAATTTAACAGGAGTATCTATTGAGAAATAATTGGTGTTTTCCAGGGTCAAACTAGTTAAGCCTGAATTGTGAGTTTTTATGTACACGGCCAAAACACTGTCAAAACTATCAAATTACCACAGAGTGACAGGTAGTGTGACTAAAGGTTTCAAACAAAGACTTCAGATCTGAGTTGCATCAGTTGCACAGTATCTGCTCCATTACTACTTAAGCTGGCCACCGATTAGTGAGCAATTATACTATGCATCACTTGTTTATATATTATCATTATATATATCTCTCCATATATTATTTTATCATTATTACTTTTGATTTTATATTATTACTATTATTATTAAATTGTACTTATCTCAAGCCATGAATCTCCTTCCTTTTTCCCCTTTAATTCTCTTCCCCATGCCCTGGGGGTGGGGGAGGTGAGCAAACAGCTGTGGGGCGTTTCATTGCCGGCTGGGCTAAACCACAATACTACATTTAATTAACACACACTAGGTGATCTTAAATAAAGGGTAAAATGTTGTGTCACTAAGCCTGGCATTTTACTGTTCTTCCACAGATATACAACCTCCAGATAGCGCCTGCTTTGGGGCAACAAAACCGGCAATACTTTGCACGGACTTATCAACTGACATCTTAAATGTTCTAATCATCTTGCACGTAACGACACTGCACGCATCTACAAGACGCAGAAACAGCCAGCGGGGGCTACAGAACGAGCACCCACGGAAACAGTCCACATTCGCCTGTATTCCCCATGTTTTAGGAATTCCTTCCTTCCTACCAGAAGACTGTTAGCAGGCTATCGTTACTTTGGTAGAACACAGCGTATTTCAGATAACTCCAATTACTATATATACACAATTATAATAAGCATTTAGATATGCTGCTTCTATATTAAGAGAAATTTCCTAATTTAATTCATAAGGTATAAAATCAGATTTTCAGGTCTGAAGTTTTTCAGATTGTGAAGGAAAAGTATTCTTTGGGGTTTGGAACTAGATGATCTCTAAGATCCCTGCCAATCCAGACCACTCTATGACTCTATGATTCACCAAGGCCTCTCCTCACAGGTAACCACAGTTGCTCGAAAAGCTTAGTTCTATTTCTTTAACAACAAAACAGAAGAAATCTAGCATGAAATTTAGGGGAAAAAAAAAAAGAAGTATTTAGGTAATCAGTTAGAACTATTGTATAAATTACTACTAATTGATGCAGATACACTTTTCTTCACCTCTTCCCTCACCCTCCTGTATACTGACAATCTTCAAATGTCGTATCACAGAATCACAGAATGGTTGAGGTTGGAAAGGACCTCTGGAGGTCATCTGGTCCAACCCCCCTGCTCAAGCAGGGCCATCTAGAGCTGGCGGCCCAGAGCCACATCCACACGGCTTTTGAATGTCTCCAAGGAGGGAGACTCCACAACCTTCCTTGGCAACCTATTCCAGTGCTTGGTTGCCCTCACAGGAAAGAGGTGTTTCCTGATGTTCAGAGGGAAGTTCAGTGTGTGACCATTGCCTCTGGTCCTGTAACTGGCACCACTAAAAAGAGTCTGAGTCTGTCCTCTTTTCACCCTCCCTTCAGGTGTTTACACACAGTGAGAAGATCCCCCTTTCTCTTCTCCAGATTTTATATGACACAGGTAACACTTGTTTATTAATCTTAAATACACATTACACTCCTATCATTTAAAAAAAAAGAAAATCATAAAATATTTCCTCAAAAACAGTCTAACGAAGAAAACATATAGCTGATACCTTGGAGCAAGAGTAACATAAGAGCCATTACTTTCTGCAGGGCTGGAGTTAACAGCAAGTCTGCATCGATTGTAAATGGTCTAAAAGACAATTAATTTTGTATTAGTGACCAGAAAAAGGTTCAACATTTACTTAAAAATATTAAGTACCATTTTTAAAGACATTTCCTGTATTCCAGGTTAAAATTTGGGAGCAGTTATACTAATAAACCCTCAAAACAACGTGCAATCTGCAGGACAATTAAGTAAAAAACTGGAAGTGTTTTTATGTCACCAAGAGATTAAAAAATTGCTATAAACAAATAATGATATTTTAAAACATTTGAAAAATATTTGTTGTGATGAGGTCAACAAAAAGTAAAATTAATGTAAACACAGACACTGTTGTGCAAAAAGGTAATAAGTGTTTAGTTTAGTAAGATACTATTAGGAAAATTCATTTGCTGTTTAAGACACTGTCTTTGGCAATAACGATTAAAAAAAAATCATACACATTTTATACAACTAAGCAGAAAATCTCATAAGTTTCTTACCGTACTGACATCCAGAGGCAGTATAAATACAATCAGAAAGCAGAGATACCAAGCCAATAATGTAGCTATTATCACCAGCCTGTGCTGTTTCTTGAAGTCTCCATAGCGATGAAGTAGGAATAAGGCCAGAAAAAAGACAAATACTATCTCAAGGCCCAGTGCTGCACCACTCATTATTGAATGTTCACTCCAGTCACACTGCACAGCTCACTTAAGAAAGCAGGTCACAACTGCAAGACAAAAAGACATTTAATTACATTAATACCTTTGGAGATATTCAGGCAGAAAAGAGTTGTTTAACAGATATTTTTAAACATATTAATAGAGTGTTCTAATTTCACATGAAAAGAATTCTGATTAGATGAAGAATAAGATTTTCAGCAAAGTGCTTTAAAGTCCTCTGCAGAAATTAAAATATCATGTCATTCCAATTTTGGCATTTCTAGCAACATATTAGGACAACTTCTCTTCATCTTCTTGATATACAATAGATTCAAAAGTCAAATCTCTGTCCTTGAATAAGGCTATATGCCTAACTTTTAAGTCCAGTATAAATTTCAAAAGAAAATCTATTCTGCGCTTTTTTTTTTTTTTTTTTTTTTTTTTAAGAAATCAACTAATTTTGACAAAGGGTTAAATGTTTAAACTAAATATTTCAGGAAAACTAATGAGCGACTTTTTTAATGGAACATTCCTCAACTATGTATTTAAATTCTGTGCTCAGAGTTAATAGAGCATAAAAATACAGCAAAGTATATGTTAGTCTACTTATGATGTACCTCTTCGAGGTTTGAAATTTCAAGTAATAAGGGGCAACATGCTAGCTAGCTCACCTTCCTATTCCACTTCTGTCCTTCTTCAGAGAAACAAAGCTCTCAATTCATTTATTATTAGTTGTTCCATAATATATTTCTGCTTTTCTCATCCTTCTGGGTTTAGTTTCTCTGTGTTATAGAGTAAGGACTGCTAGAAATGCCTAGAAAGCTCATACATCTTCATACAGGCATGCTATTATGCAAAGGACCAGTGAGCTACACAAATCTATTAGAGAAAATTTCACTGACTTGCCACATTTTTAGTTAAACTGCTTCTGACCTTTTTAATAAGCGTCATTTTTATCACAGCTACTTCACATTTTTATTTTTTTTTTAAAAAAAAGCTTACCACTCTGGTCAGGTTGACTTGCTTCTCCATCAAGATTACTGTCTTAGCTGGTTGGATTTAACCGCAAGAGTTTTTCCTATGGCTTCCCTACTGTTGTATTTCAAGTGCTTTCAATCTTCATCGGAACTTCACAGATTTAAAAGAAATGCTACTACTAAAATTTCCCTCAATTTACTTTTAAGTCCCTTTACTATTTGTTAAAGTGAATCATTTCCTTTACTAATCTCTCAGTATACTGCTTAAGCAGATCTGTTATGTATGAGGGCACTAAGCGGTGAAAATCGTCTTATTTCCACTACAAAATTCCAAAGTTTGTGATGTCAGTACTTCCTTGAGGACACACAGGACAATTATTCTGCCATTTTTGACCAAAGATGTGTCTCCCCTCATTTTGCTACTTTCACATTTCATTTCCAAATAGTGAGAGCAATTTGTTTACTCTGTATCAGCTGTTAGACGCAGAGCATCCCATATTCTGAAAACAGCTCCAGTTACCTTGCTGTTTCTTATCAAAGATGCACACACTTTTTACCTTCTGCCTTTCATCTAATGTGTTTCTCAAATTTTTCTCAAATTATTAGCATTTCTGCTAGGTCAAAGAAATGACCTACTATCATCTTGTATTACATTTTGGCAAGATTACTCGTAAATCATGAATGCAGGATATATAACCTATTTCTCAATTACTTACTCTAAGCAACTCCTTGTCTATTCTATTTTACTGTTCTTGCTTCCTCAGAAAACAGTCTTCTGTATCGATAGTATAGTAGCAATCTCCACCAAAAACATGGATGGAAAATAAATACTAGATATCAACTTTATTAAGGCAGTACTAGTTGACATACGTAGCTCTAGGTGTCAATTACAGCCACACCTTATGCTCTATAAACAAAAAAAATTATACAGCATATCTTCCATTAGTCACACCTATACAATTTTTTACTACAGTCACACCTAAAAAGCTGCTATCAAAACAGAAGCTGAAAAGTTTTTGTGCAAGATGCTGCACTCAGTTACTCCTACGAGGTAGCTACCAAAAAGATTATAAACATGTATGGAATACGCTAAAATCGAGAGGGAATTGAGGCCTACCACAACTTAATTCATTTTCAAAGCCAAAAGCAACTTTGCAGTTAGTTATCAAACTACTTTACGTTCTTCACCCGGTTCCTATTTTAATCTCAAAATACAAAACGAAAGGCCTAATTTCTACAAGACTGAAAAATAGAATTGTTTTGAAATAACGTATACGCATTTTCAAAATTACAGTTCAAAATTTTTAGACAGAAACCACTTAAAACTAGTTATCAGCATAAATAGCTTAAATGGAAAAAATCCACAAGGTGTGAAACGTTGTGCTTGAGAGGAGCTCTGACTGTGAACTAAGTCCTGCCTAACAGAACACCCATATGTGGGACCCGTGCTACTATAACTATTAGTATTAGACCTTAAAATATATTATTGCAGGCTGTAAAGCCATGTCCTCCTGTGGCAAGCAGCATTTGCTTCTGAATCTGATTGCTAGCTCAAAGAAAGGTAAGTTCCTTATTCTTGCAGACCCTGGTTGTCATGGGGGACTTCAACTATCCTGATATCTGCTGGAAGGCCTACTCAGCCAGCCATGCACAGTCCAGGAGGTTCCTTCAGTGCATTGATGATAACTTCCTGATGCAAATGGTGGATGAGCCTACTAGGAGAGGAGTGCCGCTGGATCTTGTTCTCACTAATAAGGAGGGTCTGGTTGAGGCGCTGAAGGTCGAGGGTAGCCTTGGTTGTAGTGACCATGAAATGGCGGAGTTCAGGATCTCATATGGCAGGAAGAGAATACCTAGCAGAACTAGAACCCTGGACTTCAGTAGGGCCAAATTCGATCTTCTCAAACAATTGCTAGGAGAAATCCCACGGGACAGAGTACTGGAAGGTAAAGGGGCCCAAGATAGTTGGTTAGCCTTCAAGGACCTCTTCTTCTGAGCTCAAGACCAGTGCATTCCAACAGGTAGGAAATCAAGAAAGGACACCAAGAGACCTGCATGGTTAAATAGGGAACTGTTGGGCAAACTCAGAGGAAAAAGAGAGTGTACAGATCATGGAAGGAGGGGCAGGCCACTTGGGAGGAATATAGGTCTGCTGTCAGAGGATGTAGGGAGGCAACTAGGAAAGCTAAGACCTCCTTGAAATTAAACTTTGCAAGAAAGGACAACAGAAAGGGCTTCTTCAAATACATTGCAGATAAAACTAACACTAGAGGCAATGTAGGCCCACTGGTGAATGAGGAGGCTGCCGTGGTGACAGAGGATAAGAAGAAGCCAGAGTTACTGAATGCCTTCTTTGCCTCAGTCTATACTGCTGGAGGCTATCCTGATGAGCCCCGGAACCTGAGGAAGTCAGGACAGAAAAGGAGTCTACCGTGGTTGATGAGGACTTGGTTAGGGACCAGTTAAGCAACCTGGCCATCCATAAGTCCACAGGTCCTGATGGGATGCACCCGCAGGTGCTGAGGGAGCTGGCAGATGTCATTGCCAGGCCACTCGCCATCATCTTTGCTAAATCGTGGGGAACGGGAGAGGTGCCTGAGGACTGGAGGAAAGCAAATGTCACTCCGGTCTTCAAAAAGGGCAAGAAGGAAGACGCAGGTAACTATAGACAGGTCAGCCTCACCTCCATCCCTGGAAAGATAATGGAACAACTTATCCTTGGTGCTGTCTCTAGGCATATCAAGGATAAGAGGGTCATTAGGGGCAGTCAACATGGCTTCACTAAGGGGAAGTCATGCTT